TACATTCACTTTGCTTATAGTGGGAATCGAGCAGCGGAACTGGAAAAGGTTTATGAATCTGTGTGGTGATAACATGCTGCATCAGACTAAAGAGGAGGGTGACCAAAGCTATCATTGGAGTACTGGGATAGAGGCCTTGCTGCCTCATACTCACCTGAATCCTTAACCCCCTTGAGCATCTGATGGTCAGTGTAAGAGAAAACATTGTGAGTAAAATGCAAAAGGCAGTGTATCCCAATAAAATGTTTAGAACAAGCTTTAAGTATCGCTTACCTAAATGCCTAATTTGTGTTAATAACAGCTATATCTTGTCTGAGCAACTTGTAGATGTCTGGGAGAGAAACTGTGCGTATGTTTGAAATAATGAAAAATTGCAGCATTGTGCTGCTATCTAAATATCTGACTGGACCTCAGGGGTGGTGGTGGTAAGTGTGTTAGCAGTATGAAAGAAGAAAGTTCTAGAACAAATTTAGGTACTATTCCGCTCATTTATTTTGGCAATTACCAATCATGATGGATTGGTAGTACTTACATAACCTAAGTGCTGCCTCTTGTTATCCCTTTAACCCTGTTTGAAAAGATGTATGTAACACACACGAATTAGCACTAGAACTTAACATTTTTCTGCAGCCTATAGCATTGATGTGTGTGTGTTGCAGAAAGATGTGAAATTCTAGTGCTCATTTTCCATAGCTTAATGTGTTACTAGAATACAGACAATCATTATGAGGCTCAAATATAATCCTAAAAAACAGTACTAATCACAAACTCTACTACACTGACAGTACAGTCCTATCCCGAGTTACTTCATAATCAGTTACAGTAACATTTCTCCCCAAATGCATTTTGCTTTTAGGAGTCTGTGCGCACTCTTTTGGAAATAAGCCTCGCCAGGTTCATTGGGACTTGCTCTCAGATTACACATATTGAGTAACTGAAATGCCTTGGGCTGATGAATGTTTACTAATAACTTCCATTGTGTTAAATGAAACTTGTGTGTGCACGCATATGAGTTCGGGATATCGACTTTCATTCATAAATTCAATTGAACTCTTCTTAAATCTGCTTACAACTAGTGAAGTGTTAAATGAAACTTGTGTGTGCACGCATACGAATTCGGGATATCAACTTTCATTCATAAATTCAATGGAACTCTTCTTAAATCTGCTTACAACTGGTGAAACAGCCAGAACTGTTACCCAGTTGTGTGGTTAGTTTGGACCTGAGTTGTGTGACATTTTCATTTCCAGGCTACTTGTCCTGCTCCTTTGACTTCTTTGCGGACTTACTGCTTTAGGAAACATTGAACTGTTATGGGTGGGAACCTCAAAAGGCATAGATGGAACTTGTATACAGATACCTTTCTTAATATTATTGCATCTGTATCTTGGGAGTGTGACTATCCTTCCAAATCCTACTCTATAGGTTCTGCTATAGATAGCTTTTCTTGTCATGTTGGGAAAAGTTGCACTGAATAAAATTCTATATACTCCTTAGTTTACCTGAAGTGTTTTAAGAATGGGACTACTAGCTGTAGTGAGAAAGGGCTTACTAAAATAATTGCTGCTGCCGTGGGTGTCTTAATTAGTTCCTGTAATAACACTGGATTTCAAAGCTGTGAAATCGGAGACATCTTGACAGGTGTTAGGCACACTAGTGGTCCAAGATACTAGAAGATCCTGCTGCTTACCCCATCTTTTGGGACCAGGAGCAAGCAGAAGAAAATAGGGAAGGAAGGTGGCCAGTGTCTCATTCTTGCAGGCAGCAATTGCTTCATGTTGGGACAGAAGATCTGAGTGGCAGACTTTTGTACCTTTTTAAGGCTGAATGATTCTCCCAAAACTATTTTCTTCTTCCCACACTCTAATTTTGATGTTTACTGATCAAAGAAGATGGACTCGTCTGTTATAGAAACGTAGTTAGAGAGTTTAATGCTTGGATAGACAGATTATAGTATGGTCCTTATCCTAACATCGTACTGTAGAGACTGCTATTTTTTGGTAACGGGTCTCTTTTATAGATGGGAAAACAGCAAATATTTCTGACACTTTTTTCTACTGATGTTATTTTTAGTCCACCTTTTTCACTGAGACTCAAGATGGATTACACAGTGTAAATCCATGTAGTCAACATGATGGGACATCCAATAACTGGATTAGAATTATAGAAACCTGAAACTAAACAGAAATTGAAAAAGAGTTATGTGAAAGTGGAAATTCGACCTCAAATGGCATCTCCTGTCACTTAAACAATGTGATGTGAAAAACGGCACCTAGTAAAACCTTCCTTTCTATGCAATTTTTTAAAAGAGGCACCTGAGGTCTTGGTAGCCCTTCCAGTTTATCTTCAAAAATGTTCATGATCTAGGTACATTCCACTTCCTTCAAATGACAAAGTAGCCTCTTGCTTACAAGTCGTACCTGTGTTGTACTAAATGTCAATTTTATATCAGTTTTATTATCCTTTGTCACATGTCTATAACTGATTTAAAGACCTCAGGGCATAGGAAGAGATGAGGGAAGAAGCATACCATCAGCTTCTAGCATTTTATGTTTATGGCTGACCGCATGCATTGATCTGTCCAGTCATATCTGATCAGGTGTAGAAATGCAAGACGTTTCTATTTGGGCTGAGATTTGTAGTCTGGAAGTGGTTACTATAATAGTTAAGTTTCTAAACACGTGGCCTGTCCATCAGTTGCAACTTTGCCTGATTGCATTTCTTTACTGGCTTATTTTGAACTCTGGTCAGAGTTAAGTTTACTAGTGAAACAGGTTTGCAGTTAAGTGAGGCATGCCTAGTTCTGCTTCTGCACAATGTGTAAAGTGGCCCACAGATGAACAACTTGCACGTGGTTCTTCCTGAAACAGCATGCTTATTTGCTGACCCCTCAGTTATGGCTCAGGCACAGTTCCTATGAAGTTCCTTTGGGTATGAAAAATTGGTATTTGCTTTCCTAAAGCAGTGTTTCCCAGCCTGTTGGTTGGGACTCAGAAGTGGGTTATGGGTCAGCCCTCCATAATAGTCACACCTGTCCTTTCTATTGCTCTCTTGTATTTTGGAAACCAAGATCTGACCCTAGAAACAGTATATTCTGTACATTAGTAGGCATTTTTTCTTCCGGAACAAGACTGGAGCCACAAAAGGGGATGACGCAGGTCGGATGAAACCATACGCCAAGTTTTTGTCAATGAATTTGCGTAATTCTTCCTTTTCCCCTGGGCTCATCGCATAGAGTTTACCTTTTGGCAACTTCTTGTCAGTGATTAACTCGATCGTGCAATGAGAGTGTCTGTGAGGGGGCAATTCGTTTGCCTCCTCTTCTTCAAACACCCGTGCAAGATCTCGGTACTCCAGAGGAATAGAGTTCATCTCCTTGGCCAGGCAAGCCCGCACTGGTTCATATGGAGGGGCCTCCCCCCCAAGGTTCCTCCCACACGTGCTTCTGGCACTTAGGGGAAATGAATTTGACCACCCCAGTGGATGTGGGAGGGCCGTTCTATCTGTGGCCAGGCTAAAGTCTTGGCCAGGCCGGATTAGGCCCACAGGCCATATGTTTGACACTCTTGTTCTAGCTGCTTTGTGAGTGGCACAGCTTCCAGACATGCCAGTGTGGTCATGGGCAGTAAAAACTCCATGCTGTTATTCACATCATCCCCATCTCGAATGTTCTTAATAGAGGCTGACCTGTGGAGCAGAGCCATCTCCCACACTCATGAGTGGTCATCAGGGACATTTACCTACACCCAGTATTAGACCTTTTTGCTATGGAACACCAAAGCTCTCAGGTTCTGTTTGAAGGCAGGGAGCAAACAGCGTTTCATTGGGGATGCTTTCCAGATCCCATGGCAGGGGGCTCTTGTTTACACTTCCCCTCCTTTCCCCCTACTCATTAGCATAATGGAACAAATCAGGAGAGAGGGTGCAAATATGATTTTAGTGGCCCCCTTCTGGCCCTGCCAAATATGGTTCTCTGCCCTCTGGAACGTGGCATGCAGGGGTCATTTCCTGCAGGAGCACGCAGGAGGTCGCTCGGCAGTAAAGAGCCCAGGGGGTGGGCACATGCAACAAGCCCTGCCCCCTGCTCCTTCTCTCCCTCTTTCCCCCCTTTTTCTTTTCCTCCTTTTTTCCTTCTTTCCCTCTTTCTTTCTGCACAGATCTGTGTGAGGGCAGATCTTTGTGTGTCTCCCCCCCCCCCCAATCCAAAACAGTCCAGTGGCACCTTTAAGGCCATGTTTTATTCAAGTACAAGCTCTCCCTCCTCTGTCAGGGCAGATCTGCATGCCCCCGCACCCATAACTAGCAATCTAAAACAGTCCAGTGGAACCTGAGCGGAGGCTGTTGCCTTCTGACGTACTTCCGGTGATGTCAGGGGGTGTGGTATATGCAAATAAGTTATGCTGATGAGTTATGCTAATAAGCTCCTGCTCCTCTTTTTCTACGAAATGACCCCTGGTGGCATGCATGCATGGGGTTAGTACATACAATTCCTGAGTGAATTGGATTTATTGAGCATAGGCCTGGTGATTCATCACGATGTCGACCGACCACGGTGTTTGACAGCATGGAGGCTCCCGACCACAATGTTTGATAGCACGGAGGTTCCCGACCACGACCTAGTGTTTTCCCATGAGGTCAATTAGATCCTCTTGCACTCGTGTAAACCATCAAGGTCAGAGTATTGCAGCGACAGAGACCCTGGAACACTGACTGCTTTACTTGGTTTTCACGTGCCCGCTTTTTATGGTTACACGGAGGAGTCGGTGAAACTGGGAACCGGAAATTTCTGTAGCGAACCTTTAAGATTGTAGCTTGCGGCTCAATGCGGCCCACTTCAATGTTTGGAGGGAAAAGGAAGACGGGTCAATGGGAGTGGAAGTGACAGATGCAAGCGGGAGTAGCAGCCATTCGTGGGAATCCAACTGGGTGGGCTTTTGGGATGGCAACCAATAGAAACTATTGAATCCCAAACAGTAACCAATCACTAACGGCCAGTGATGACCGCACGGTTAAGGATTAGAATTGTCTTGCGTGGCTATAGGTTGACGGCGGGGGGAAGCCATGGATCAGGGATATGGTGAGTGTTGTTCATGTAGCTGCATCGGATAACGGAAGTGCTAGAAAGTGCGCGCGAAAGGAATTCTGACAGCCAGTACCGTTTTTTTTATTGTGGTGGTTACGATTTACCCGGCAGCTGAGCTGAGCAGGGCTCCGATAGCCTCCCCCTTCCTTCTTTACGAGGGAGCGGTAACGGTGATTGGCTATTGGACTTGTCTCTCAATGCTTGTCTGGTGATCGGTGAGGTGGTTGGTATGTGGGGCGGAGGAGTTAATCCCTCTGTTCTGTGAGGAAGGCGGGGTTAGGGCATATTTCTAAAAAGGATACAAAATGGCGTCAGGGCAGCTTCTTTCCTCTGCGTCAGCGTGCTTCTTAACTCCCGCGCCCCCTTTTTACGCGGCATGGACGCGTCTCCGAAAAGTTGTGCCTTTTAGTTAGCGGTGAACGGAGCTGGTCGTTCTCTTTCCGTCGGCACAGGGTCCTGCTCTTTCCTGTTCTAGAGGTGTTTTTCTCCTCTAGGAGGACTGAAGTGGGTTTAATAGGTCCCTGAAGCGCGGTTGGGTTTAGTGAAGCTAGTTCTGGTACCGTGATGGTGGATAATGGCGTCAAGTTGCAGCCCATTTATGGCGACCCCATAGGGTTTTCAAGGCAAGACGCTCAGAGGTTGTTTGCCATTGCTTGCCTGTGTGTAGTAACGAGAAACCCTGGACTTCCTTGACGGCCTCACATCCAAGTTCTTACCAGGAGTGAGTGGCCCTGCTTCTTTTCTGAAACCTGATGAGCTCAGGCTAGTCTGAGCCATTCAGGTCAAGGCATTGAGGGGACTATTAAGCAAATAATATTTTATTTTTTGCCTGTGTCTGCAGAGCATCCCTGGACTTCCTTGGTGATCCCCAATTCAAGTACTTACCAGGGCCAACCCTGCTTAACTTCTGAGATTTGATGAGGTCAGGGTAGCCTGGGCCATCCTGGTCAGGACAAGTCCTGGCACAGAGATGGCATCATGCAGGGGGACCATTTCACTTGCTATTTTTTCTTAAGATACGGGAGGCCTGCTAGAAAACAAATATTGGTAACTCCATTCTTTTCCACTTTGGTTCTGTCTGAACCTTCAGAGGTATAAGGATGTATGGTAATTTGAGAGGTTGCTCTACTTATTTATGTTTGTTAAAACAACCCCACTTTTCCTCATGGTTCAAGGCAGCTTTAGCTCTGCATCTTTTCACTTTAACAAAGATCCAGTGTACTCAGACTTTGAGAGCAAATGGATAACCTTCAGTTTATCAGTTTGCTTAGCTCCATCTTTTGCATTCAAAGTATTTCTGATAGATTGGTGTCCTGCTCCTGGAAGTGCAAGGAACAGGTTTTGTCAACAGAACAGTAGTGGAATTCTTAAGTGGTGTGAATGGTTGTGTGTCAGCTGCCATTCTAGTTGAATATTTTAGTACTACATATTTAGCACAGACCATTCTAGCTTCATAGTCATTCTAGCTTCATACATGCCAGAATATAGAAATGGAGGGGGGTTTTCCCCCCACGCAATTCATGTAGCAACATTGAGCTACACTATTATGCTCATGCTGCTGTAAAGCCGTATTACTTGAGGCTGCTTCACATACCACATGCTTTAAAGGATATGTGACCTAAAAATGCAAATTCTACAAATGTTTTATTTTCTTCATTTATACCCCACCTTTCTCCCCAAAAGAGCAGCTTATGGGATTTTCATCCATTTTATGCTCACAATAACCCTTTGAGGGTCTCCCAGATCCTACTTAGACACTCTTAACTGGTGCACCATATATACTTATTAGGGAGCAATGACTGGCTGTAGTTGCTTCTGTGAAATGTCCCATCCCTGTGGCTGGACCAATTCCACTCTGAATTTTTACTTTCAAACTATTGCTTTTCATGTGTATCCAGTGAGATATGAGCTGTGGTTGTTTAGTTTCCTCAAGAACATATTAGTTATATAAAACAAGACCTAATTACTTTGTTTATTAGTCTCACAAGTGAGGCTGGAACCTTTGGTCGTGTCATCATTCAGTATGTGTGATGACAAATTCTGTTTCACTTCCTTACACTGAGAATTACACTTGAAAAATTTATAACGGGATTCATATCAAATCTCTCTCTACCTCAACTTCTCTGCCTCCCCTTTCATTTTCCCTGTAAGTATTCCCAAAATGATTTCTTTCCCACATATCTGAAGAAGTGAGCCTCTGACTCACAAAAGCTAATATTGAAACAAATGTTGTTAGTCTTTTAAGATGCCACTGGACTTTTCTTCTGTTTTAATACAACAGATTCATGACTTCCTCTCTACAAAACAGCCAAGGTAAATGGCAGAGAAAGGTTTAAAGGGGCTGTTGATGGGAAGAGTTTTGGGAAAGTTAAATATGTCTTATGGAATGTCTGTTGAAAAACAGGAATAAAATCAGCCTGTTGTGAACAGAAGGGATCAAGACTTGCTATGTTAAATAGCTTTAAAGGAGTCTGGAGAAAAGAGATTGACACTTGGATGATGTAGTTAGGCTATAGGTTTAGAATTCTTTTTTTCTTAAAATTGTTTTGGATATAGGAAAGTTCAAAGCCTTGTTTGATTCTAAAGGTTACCATGTGGCTGTGGTTAAACCATTACTTAACTCACAGGGATCTTGTCCACTAAAACACTGTTCTTTAATAACACAAACAACAGTTACTGAGAAATAATGCTGGTATTGCATTTGCAAAATGAATGTATAAAGAAACTGGACACCTTTTGACATTGTGTTCACAACTCCACCTTATACAATTCAATATCTTGTTTCCATTCATTGCCTCCCCCAGCATTTACACTGTTTCTAAGTTTGAGGCAATAATTCAAAAGAAAACATAAAGGTTCTCTTAAAAGTAATGTTCTTCTGTTATGGGCGGGGGAAGCTGCAGCTGTAGGTCTGTATATCCAAGTTGTAAAGGGATTTAAGGGTTAAAACCAGCATGTTACATTGTACCAAATAAGATACTGATAGCCAATGCAGTTACTACTATGTATGTGAAATTCTAAAAATATTTTAATTCCATATATGAAAGTCAGGAAAGGCTTGATTATTGATTAATATTGGAGCATTGTTGTTATGTCCAGATACCAGAGCAATACTTTGCCCCAGCCAGGTAAGGTAAAGGTTTCCCTTGCTTGAAAGCCAGCCGAATCCGACTCTAGGGTTGCACTGCTCATCTCCGTTTCCAAGCCGAAGAGCCAGCGCTGTCCAGAGACTTCTCCGTGGTCATGTGGCCGAAATGACTAAACGCCAAGGCGCACAGAATGCCCCACCCAGACAAGAGACAAAAAGGACAGTATCTTTCCCTTCCCCCTGGCTAGTATGGCCACCTGATCACTGTGACTATCACTACACACAAGTCCCAGACACTCAGTGCATTCTCCTAGTGGCTTGCAGGATCCAACAAACCAGTATCTATAAAATCCTGTAACCACAATAGAATGTTCAAGACCAAGAGTAAGCTGAAGTCTTAAACAGAAGCAGGGAAAGCAAAAGTGCAAGTTGATTCATGTTTCTTCATTTCCTGTTTCTGCTACAACATGTAAAGAATTACTTGCCTCTTTCAGCCACAATGAGAATAGTGGACCCAAAGAGTAATCTGACACTCATGGCTTTCATTGCTGCTAAGATTTTCACATCTTGATTATGTTTTTGTTAACTTTGCTTCTATGCAGCATTAAGACTGACTTTTGTAGTTAATCAGTAGTGTAGACCTCAGAAGCAGTGTAGTTCCAAAAAGTTGAACAAAATAACCTTCAGAATGTATAAATAACAGAAGAGTTTTGTGGTACCTTAAAATTAATTTAAAGGTAAATGTATTAGGGGCCACCGCAGTGACTTAGAGGTTAAGACTGAGCTGTAGACTGGAAGGTCTGTAGTTCGGCAGTTTGAGACCCTAGTACCGCATGGCGGAGTGAGCTCCCGTCTCTGGCCCCAGCTCCTGCCAACCTAGCAGTTCGAAAGCAAGAAATTGCAAGTAGATAAATAGGTACCACTTCGGTGGGAAGGTGTTCTGCGCACCTCAGTGTTTAGTCATGACGGGCACATGACCACGGAAACGTCTTCAGACAGCGCTGGCTCTTCGGCTTGGAAACTGAGATGAGCACCGCCCCCTAGGGTCAGATTCAACTAGCTTTCAAGCAAGGGAAACCTTTACCTTTTAAATGCATGGACTACCCCACCAGAGTTCAGAATGTTTGACTTGTGGGATAATCACCTGCTATTCTGGCTTCCCTTTGCATGCTGCCTCATCAGTAATGGTGGCAGAAGTGCAGTTTATTAAAGTTATGTTTCTGTGTTGATACCTATGAGGTAGACAGTGACCAAACCTAGAGTTGGGTCTGGGTTTCTATATGGTTAAAGATATTGTGTTTTTTATGTTATAGCAATAGTATCAAGAATTGCAGCTTGAATCAAAATCTATTCCCTTTTGATATGTTGGAGAGAAGAGATACATCAGGTCTAGAGGAACAAAGTAAATTGTAGAGATTTAGCTTGAGCTAATGAGCTACTTAATTTCCCTTACAGGTTATGGTACCTGGGGTACTGAGGCAACCAATACTCAAGGTATGTGATAGTGCTGAATTGAGGTTCTAAACCAATCCTGGTTTGGGGGCAAAGAAAAAATATTGATTTGTTAAAGGGTCCTGTGGTGTCCTTCCTATTGGGGGGGGGTGTTTTCCCTTTAAATCATACTTTGTGTATATAAACTTGGTAGTTATCTGCTGCCACCAGGAATTAAAAATTCCAAATCTCTCTCCTTTGGTAGTGTGACCCAGGGTCTGGGTACTTCAGAGGACTATGTGGCCATGAGGAAGTATTGTACTGAATTCTGGGATATATTTAAACAAAAATGGATTTATTGAAATAAGAACAAAATAGATTTCTGGAAAAAGGAACTTGTCAAATATAACTACCAAGCTTGGTGTCAAACTCAGTCTCTCAGACACCAAAATTCCACTCTGACAGGCTTCTCTCTCTTTCTCATATACGTAGCCACACTGGTTAAGCTCTTAGTCTTAGGCACACAAGAATAAACATTTGTCTAACCAATTCTGGGCTTTGCCGCTTTAAAGATGGCCACGTCTTCTCGCAGCTCCGAGAGATGCGTGCCATGAATTAGAGGATAGGAGAGGGCACGATCGTCCGCACTCCCCATGGAGCCCTTGGGCAATGGGCTCCTAGCCAGGGGGTTTTGGACAGCCCTTCCTCCGGCCGACAGCCGACATAGGGGGGCTACTCTCTGCCCCGAAGGTTCTGCCCTGATTCCCAGCATTGGACTCAAAGCACACTCCAGGACAAGCGTATGACGGTTTGGCGATCCCAGCGAGATCCCAGGGAGACCTGCTGGATCATCCTGAAGACTGATGAGTGAGTTAAAGTTGAAGCGAGACATCGAAGCCCTGATGCGAAGCCCCCCCACAAAAGTTGGAGGGGGAGGGGATGCCTTACCCACTAAACGACCTAATGAAGCGGAAACACGATGGGGGAGACTGAGCATGCAGTGGCATGGATTATAATAGAAGGACTAGAGCAGAGAATTTTTCCAAAAAAATAAGCATGTACAGACCTCTGAGGCTTTGGCAACTTTGTTTGGTAAATGTAAACATCCCCCCAAGATGGCGATCGGAGGCATTGAGGAAGGCGGGACCCAACCTTTCCTCAGGAAGAAGGAGATCGGAGGGTTAGGTCAGGTGACCTAACCATAGAAGATAAGAGATGCCAATGTTGGATCAGGCCAAATGCCCATCCAGTCCAACACTCTGTCACACAGTGGCCAGAAATACCAGGTGCCATCAGGAGGTCCACCAGTGGGGCCAGGACATTAGAAGCCCTCCCACTGTTGACCCCCCCCAAAGCACCAAGAAGACAGAGCATCACTTGCCCCAGAGTCCCTATCTATACCATGTGGCTAATAGCCACTGATGGACCTCTGCTCCATATGCTTATCTAATTCCCTTTTGAAGCAGTCCATGCTTGTAGCCACCACTTCCTGTAGACTCTTCCTACAGTTTAAAATCGTTTGCCCTCTACTGGCTAAAGCGGTGTACTGGACGGAATCGGCTCTAAATGTTGCTGTATTTTTGAAGGGACAGTGTCTATACCAAGAAGCAGTGAATCTTTGATCATAGAGGAAATTATGACTGTATGGAGACTTTAAAGTTTAGCTTATATTGGATGGTTGTAGGCAGATTAAAAAGCGATTTCGGAGCAAAGGGCTTGGCCACCCTTACTTTATAAAATCTGCCTGCAAAGTGAACGGTCAGATTCTCCAACCAGTGTGCGTGGGAAGCAACAAAAGGAAGGACTCTTATGATCTAAGACAAGCAAGAAAGCGAATGAAAGTTCTGGGGAAAGCGGTATTAATTGGACAGAGCCTGTTATATAGAAGCTGATAGTGAAAGAAGATTCAGCAGAGAAGGAAGAGGATAAATCTGTGTGATTGTATGGACTGAGGGAAAAAAGCATTTAGGGAGATGTCGACGTCTCTCAAGGTCTATATTTTTGTTAATTAGCTATGGAATTACTCTTTGTCTAGCCTGATAAGCTGGTTTTGACAACTGAAACGATGATTGATGATACTCCTCATGTCTGAAAGTAATTAAGAGTAACAAATCTTTTTTATAAGCAGTTTATAACCTTCAACACTTGGGCTTTTAGTGCCTTCTTTTTCTTTCTCCCATAGTTTGTAGTTTTCCCTCCCCTTTTCGTTGTAGTTTTGTAGTTTTTTTAGAACTGCAAATTAAAAAATCCCCTTCGGGGGGCCAACCCCCCCCAACATTTGTCTAACCACACAGTTTAGATGCAACTTGTTTCTTTGTCGTTTAGACTCTCTCCCCAAAACTTTTAGAGTTCGACAGACTCTCTTTAGAGCTTTTCACACTTCACTCTCCAAAGACACACACAGAGAACTCTGTCATAAAACACACACACACACAGAGATTCCTCTCAGAACATCTCCTCCCACACTCTCAGTCATCAGCCAGTCACAGCACACACATCTCTCCCTATCGCCCTCCTTGAATTACTGCAGTCAAACTAACATTTAAAGGAACACACATAGGAATCACATAGGAACACAAAGGAATCATTACAGGTCCAAATTCATACATTACAACAAATTAAACTTGGGCTCTGCGTGCAAAGGGAAGCATGCAAAATTGTTCATGGGATTTGGGGCTTGTTCATCACAAAGCGTAGTTTGCTGTCTGAATACAGTCTGACACTAAATACAACGACCACAGAGATACTAAGTACGATAACAGAAAATACACCATGGAGAGAATGTATTGCTCAAGGTCAAATACCACTAAAGTGTTACTTAAAGGCATATGTCTCTAACATAATAAATGAGAAAATCATGCATAGAGATTAAATCATAAATCTTTTAATATGATCCACATGTACTTATTGCTGATTAAAGCACAAAAGCTATGAAACAAATAGAGAAGTATAAAGAAGCCTTCATAAAGCAAGACCAGTAAATGGGCTGAATGCAGTCCTTGAAAACACCGTAATCTTCTTTGCTGTTTCTTAGTTTCAAACTTTCAGGTCTGCAGGGAGTCTGAGAAACCAGGCTGACGTCTCCTATCGGCCAAGAGAGTTTCGATTCAACTTTTTCAGAGGCAATATATTCTTATGGAATATAAATAACAAAACAAGCACAACATCTTGTATACAGATATTCAGAACACACTTCAAACCTTGTTATTAACAATTTGAAACCTGCCTTACCGACACAGTTTACATATTTTGCATGCTTTATCATAGTTCCACAAGGGCTCGTTATACTCCTTATGGAAAAGTGGTTCTTACATGCACAAACTCAGCTTGCGTACTTAAAGCTAATTGCGCCTGAATCATTTAAAATCAGAGTGCATTTAAAGTCACAGAGTATATTTAACATAAATAAAAGGCTACAAATAAGAGGATAAGTCAAGTTCATTATTTAAACCATAAAGTGAAAGAAGAAGAATAAGTCACCGGGACCGGATGGATACCCGTTGGAATTTTATAAAAAATTTGCCTTTGTCCTTGCTCCTCTTTTTATGGAAACCTGCAATGAAATCTTGTCATCTGGCTCTCTTCTACCATCATGGCATACAGCATCAATTGTAGTAATTCCCAAACTGGGAAAAGACCACACACTACCTTCTTCATTCCGACCCATATCCTTGCTTAATCAAGATTATAAAATCTTTACATCTATCATTGCCAAACGACTTAACAACTTTATTACGAATTATATCCATACTGATCAGTCGGGATTTATGCCAGGAAGAGACTTAACGGATAACATCTACAAAACCCTCAATATCATATCTTCTGTCACACGCCACAGTCCCAAGACGATACTGCTTTCCTTAGACATAGAAAAAGGTTTCAACTCACTTGAGACCTCCTACCTCTATGCTTTGCTACAACACATGGACTTTGATGCCACTTTTCTCAGAATAATAAAAGCCCTATATTCCCACCCCACTGCACAAGTACGGGTAAATGGAACAACTTCTGAAACCTTCACACTACAAAGGGGCACCCAAAAAGGATGCCCTCTTTTGCCAATTTTATTCGCTATTGCATTAGAACCTCTGGCCTCTGAAATTCATAACAAACCTGAGAGTTCATCTAGCAAAAAAGGAATACAAATTAAGCATGTTTGCAGACGATATGTTACTCTATAACCCAGAAAACTCGCTTACACATTTACAAAACATCCTCTCAAACTTCAGTGCAATATCAGGATTGAAGATTAATCACTCCAAGTCTTCGGCTCTGCCTCTGAACCTAAATCTTACTGATCTACTTCAGTTGAAAGCCTGCCACCCATATCACTGGACAGACAAACCATTACCGTATCTAGGAATTCAAATCTCATCTTCCATGAAAGACCTGATGAAACTGAATTATCAACGCAAATTTCAGGAGATCAAGGCTGATCTGGGAAAATGGGACAAAATGCAGTTCTCTTGGCAAGATAGATTTCATCTGGTCAAAAGCTTTGTTCTCCCCAAAATCACTTTTCTTTTTCGTACCTTACCAATTGAGATACCTGCTAGTGCATTACGTCATTGGCAATCAGTGATGAACACCTTTCTTTGGAATTGTAAACATCTGAGAGTAGGCTTCAAAACTCTAAGGCTGCGAACTGATCAAGGAGGTCTCGGCTTCCCAGACATAGCCACTTACTACAAAGCCATATTTTTGTCCAGTGTTGTCAAGATACTTAGAAGCAACAAACAGTCAGACTGGACATCAACATTAACGCCACTTCTTCAACCGTTTACGCTCAAAGAGGCAATTTGGACTACTCCCAAACTACGTCCCTCTGGACTTTGCAGCAACATTTTTATAACCAGTATCCTCAAAATATGGGATGCCCATCGACAACGACTGGTCCCTACGATCTTAAGATTCTCATCTTTCCTCTATCAACATTGGTTTCTCCCAAGAAATGATTTGCACAGTGCTTCAATTTGGAGAAAAGCCAATGCTGCACGTTTAAAAGATATCATACTAAATCATGATCTAGCGCCAAAGATACATCTTGACCAGAAATTGAAAAG